CGCTCGGCCCCACAGCCCTTGGGAACCTCGCAGAGCCCCATGGAGACCTCGCAGAGCCCCATGGAGACCATATACATCACTTGTGGACCTCGCACAGCCCCATGTAGACCTTGCGTGGCTCCATGGGGACCTTGCATGGCCCCATAGGGACCACGTGCAGCCCGTGGGGACCTTGCACACCTCTATGGGGACCTTGCACACCCCTATAGAGTCCTTGCACAGCCCATGGGGACGTTACAGAGCCCATGGGGACCATGCATGGTCCATGAGGACCTCGCACAGCCCCATGGAGACCATATACATCACTTGTGGACCTCGCACAGCCCCGTGTAGACCTTGCATGGCCCCACAGGGTCTGCATGCAGTCCATGGGGACCTTGCACACCCCATGTGGACCTTGCACATCCCTATGGGGACCTTGCACACCCCTATGGGGACCTTGCAAAGCCCATGAGGACCTTGCAGAGCTCAGGGAGACCATGCATGGCCCATGGGGACTTCTCACAGCCCCATGGAGACCATGCATGGCCCACGGGGACTTCTCACAGCCCCATGGAGACCATGCATGGCCCACGGGGACTTCTCACAGCCCCGTGGAGACCATGCATGGCCCACGGGGACTTCTCACAGCCCCATGGAGACCATGCATGGCCCACGGGGACTTCTCACAGCCCCATGGAGACCATGCATGGCCCATGGGGACGTCTCACCACCCCATGGAGACTGTATACATCCCGCGTGGACCTTGCACAGCCCATGGGGACCTTGCACACCCCTATGGAGACCTTGCACAGCCCGTGGGGAGCGTGCATGGCCCGTGGGGACCTTGCAGAGCCCACGGGGACCGTGCACGAGAGCGCCTGTGACAGAACTCCAGCCCTGCTCCAGCCAAAGCGTCGAGTCAGGGCCGGGTTTCTCCAGCTCCTCCTGCAGTTCTGCGGGGCTGAGCCCAGCTCCGGGCACCCATGGCCTGGCCTCGCTCACTTGCGCACCGAGTGTCGGGGTCTCTGCAGAGGCTGGGTGGGAGCACCGGGGTTTGAGCATGGCAAAGTAACGGTGGTGGGGGGCACAATCTGGGGCTTTTGGGGGGCAAATCTAGCACAAGGGACCCTTGGAGCAATCGCTGGGTGGGGCAGAGCCAGGACTGGCCCCAACGTGTGGCAGG